TTTCAATTCCCACTTCCGCAACCACCACCACCAAAGCTAACAGAGAGCGGGGCAGAGCACCGAGGAATATGCCAGATTTTCAGTATCGTATCAATGTTCGGAAACTATATTAAATCAATACCAGGTAGTAGCGCGTCCCGCAACAAGTTGATTACTGATTACTGGCATACGGATGTGATAACGACTGCGTTTGCCGACCTCCCTTTATCATAGTGCCAATTGACGCTTCAAGAAATCAAAACAAGAGACTTTGATTACATTCGCGGACATCTCTCTTGTTGTTGTTTGATTTTGCGCACTGCTGCTGCTGTAGAGATTAACAAAATTCTGTGGAGACTGCAATTTGATAACGCTGACAAATGCGTTTTATGCCGGAGACGCACTTCATTCACTCACAAGCAAATATATTTTATGTTATGATTCTGATAATTATATATCGTATGGGTCACGGTTCTACCACAGCGCAGGGCAGCACTTCCATTTAGCGATTTATTAGAAAACTATCGATGCCACTATCGAGCGCTTGGATGGCGGCCGTTAAGGATATCGATCTCTCGGCACCCCACCCGTATGTTCTTATACCCTTCGAGTTCAATTTGTACAGTACTTATTATTTATTTATTGCGTTTTATAATTAGCAATCGTATTTAACTGCAAAAACTAGTTAAACTTGGTTGAATTTGGGAACATTTTTGGTATTTAAAATTCATGTTGTATGCAAAAAAATTTTATGTATGACACGTGATGAAATATTATGTAGTCAAATTTCGTTCGCTATGGCTACCGACCACCTCAATCCCATAGATTCGTTACTGGACTTCGCTTAAATGCATCCTTTTATCATTGGGTGCCCGCACTGCAGGCAAGAGCGACATAGGATCTACTGGTCCTTGGCGAGGCGACGAAGTGCACGCTTACGAGTGCCCAAAATGTTCTTGAGAACCAAACTGCGGGCGAACTGATCACCGAACACAGCCTCTGTAAAGTGGATAACCAGCTGGAGCAGGGCATGGGGCAGATATCCAGCGGTCTGGCTGGCAATACCGAGTGTAGAGAGGGCAGACTTCACATAAGTTTCGGGGGACGGCGCAAACACGCTGGCCTTGCGGATTTTGGACATGTTGGTGGCCACAAAGCCCGGCTGCACGCTCTGGATGAGAATGCCGTGATCCTTGTACTCCGTCTGAAGGTCATCGCTAAACTTGTTGACAAAAGCCTAAGGATGAAACCAGAGATAGTAGGTAAGGTTCAACTCTAAGTATTCTTCGTCACCGCGCACTCACTTTGGTAGCACTGTACACGCTCAGCAGGGGATTGGGAATGACGCCGGCAGTGGACGACAAATTGATGATAACTCCCTTGCGCTTGGCTATCATGACCGGTAAGAACAAAGCGATCATGTGGGTAACCGAGTGTACATTGGCTGCCACAATGTTGTTCAAAAACGCCGGATCCGCATTGTAGCAGTCTAGAAAGTATTCGGGATGGCTGTAGCTGATTCCTACGTTGTTCACCAGCACACCGACGTCTAGGCCAGTGGTTTTCTCGCGTATCTTCTCATAGATCTCAGTGCCGCCTGTGAAATCGACATCGATGACGCGCACCTCCACGCCAAATTCATCGCCTGAAAGTATGCCACGACCAGAGATTAGATATCCAGTGTAAAGGAAGTCTTAAGCTGCGGGTACCTATTTCCTTGGAAACGTCGTTCAGTTTATTCAACGATCGACTAATCAGTACCAGCTTCAGACCTTTCCGAGCCAGCTGAAAATTACAAAATATAAATTTTTTATTAAATATTCTATAAGCGTTTTAAGTTTCTTTGAAAGTGAAATAGTTAGTGAAACAAAATCTCTTGTCGTCATGGAAGCCGTGCGCAATCCCCGATCTCAATCGGCTAGGTCCAGATGCATCGCCGCACAAAAGTCCCAAATGATGAACGAAAAATATAGCGAGGAAGAAAAAATGACCATTGCTGAAATGAAACAACTCTATCTGCAGACCATCCCATCCGCCAAGAAATTGGGGGGATATGGGATATGAGAAGGAACAACTATTGTTCGTGCTCCCTTTATAGAGTACGCAGAAATTTGAAGCGCACATTGAACCATTTTCTTCGGCTTGTTCCGAACTGTATGTAAATGTGAAGAAAGCTTTGACCAGCTATTGCCCTTAGGCATTGTTCCTATTGTTCTTGCTCCCTTTATAGAGTACGCAGAAATTTGAAGCGCACATTGAACCATTTTCTTCGGCTTGTTCCGAACTGTATGTAAATGTGAAGAAAGCTTTGACCAGCTATTGCCCTTAGGGAGACACGTGCACGTCAGCCGCTGTGTAATCTTCTTGTCGATTGTTTAAAGTGGGTAATAAATACAGCCGGGATCCGCCCCGTTTCCAAAAAAGCGCTCCGACCGCACTTGAACATAATATACTAATGTTACTGTGTTGAGAGAGGAGGGCAGAAAATGTTCAGTCACCACAATTAGGGAACTCTGAACGGAAGGGCTGAGTGGCTGTTGAGACTGAAGATCAATTCCAAAGTGTAGATTCACTCGGCCCCTCGGCCACTCGGCCACTTGCATTTCGCAAGCAATGTCCAAGTCATTCCCGCTTAATGGCAATTCTATGACTAAATTTTTTGCGCGCTTCCCAATAGTCAAGTCATAGTTTGATGGACTTTGATTAGAGCCAGTGGGTTGCACAATCCATGGTCGTTTACATACCTCCTTGGCATAGGCTTTGCCAATTCCATCGGTTGACCCGGTAACAACTGCAATTAATGGATATTAGCTCGGATTCTCTTCCTTATCAGCAATCGTCAAACGCCTCCTTATCGAACGCCAAAGTTTTTACTCACCTGCCCATTCGCCCATTTCGGCTAGTTTTACCGTGGCTCCGAAGACCTTCGGCCCCACCACGTTGGCGTATATCCAGGGCAAGACCGTGCGGAAGAACTGAAAGCCGACAATGCCGATGGCCAAGCCACCAAGCACACTCAGTGCATGCGAATTTTCATCCATTTCCGTATTTGTTTCTTTATTTGAATTTTCCTAGGACACTGCCAAAAACTCGACTCCTAGTCTCTGCTGGCGGCTGGTTTCTGATTTCTGTCGTCGAACTGCAACGTTAAAATGTTTACGCTGCCGCCGCAAACTCTGCTTATAGAACCTGCATACATATGTACATGCATACATGCATATGTACAATGTATGTGCATACCATACCTCTATCTCTCGTCGATGGTGTGTTCGCTGTACGGCGCCGCTGTACTCCCTATTTGCTGCCTTCACCGAGTAGAATGTAAAGTGATTTTTTTGAATTTCAGGCGTAGTTTTTCTGATTAATATTCAAAGCATTTTGTTGCTTTTGACGTTGACCCAAAGTATAAACATAAAACAGAAAAAGAAATGAAAAAGCGATTTAATGCAAATTGTGAACGGCACGAAAACGAATGAACGGTTCTTTCTCTGTCAGCATATCGATGTTCTGATATGTGTGTGTGTGTGCGTAACGTTGCCCGACCTATGTATGTCATTCTGTCTGTGTTCCCGGCTCGTGCTCTCCGTCCTCCCTTCGTCTGATTTTCCCATATCGCACCACCACCGAAAAGATAAGGGCGGCACATGTGGCTACTATGTGTACACAGTGCAGCCAAAAAGTGTTCGCCTTGAGCGTACTTGACTTTTCGCAGTCTTTCCTCGTCGTTCGAAAAATTATTTAACCGTTAGAGAACTTATGTTATCCGCTTTTACTCTTTCTATTGCTACATATGATGTCGCTCAATAAGTTGTCGTATGATCACCAAACTTGATAAATAAATAGAACTGAATCCCTGCAAGGGGTGTGGGAATATTTTGAAAAGCTACTGTATACTCTGCTCTCTCAATTATTTAATGCTCGCTCACATACACACCCATAACTGCACATGCGCAGGAAGTGTAAACGTTCGATGAAATTAACATTAAAACTATTTTTTTTTGTAAAGGCGCTAAAATGTAGTTTATTTAACATGGAGCTTGCAGGTATGAGTGCATTGATTTTCTTAACGGAATTTTACTGCCAAAAGACGTACTTTTACCCAAACAATATGTCCATTTCATTGCGAGGATATCTATCGATAACTATCGCGTTTTGAACTGATGCTTAAATAATTATTTTTGAATGTAAGGTTAAATTTACAAAAGAAAGAGAAACTATAGTGAGAATTCTAGCAAGTTCCAGAGAAACTCTAGCAATTATTGGAGGGAGAAGAACGATCGGAATATATATATCCTGAAGTCCACGATTTCTTGGCTTTAAATGAATACCAACGGAATCAATAACCTGGCTATATTTTTAATAAATAAAAACAAACACGAATAGGCCAATACGGCTCATATATGCAGGATCGTATGGTATTAAAATACATAGATTGATCTTTATCGTATATATTAACATACCCTACATGTGTACATATGTATGTCCATAGTGTATGGAGGTGGCGTTCTGTTAATATCGAAGGAGAGTACCGAGAGAGCGAAATGCTGCGGATGCTGTCCATGCGCAGAGCCTGCCCTGACCTACATTCGAATTTATTGGTCATCTAAGGCAGCCACAGCCAAAGGCATTTACAAAAAAATAAATACACACGCAACGCGAGAAGGTTAATAATCGTTTACTAGCCGTTGTTTTTGTAAAAAAAATAATTTTCAAAAACTTAAATGCACATCAAAACAGCAAACACTGACGTAAACCTAACATCTGCTGCATTATGCCTTAACTTAATGCTTAATCGATAGATATTGACCAAGAAACAGAGTCAAAAGTGGGAAATAAATTTTCCCTGTCTCTGCCGTGACTGTCCCGACGCATAGAGACGATGAGGCTGTCCGGACTGCCACTTACTGATGCAGTTGGATCAAAATAGAAACGGTTACAGTCAAGTGAATACGAATGTGCATATCGTGCGGTGAGTGGAGGAAGCATCACTGAGTGGAGTTTGAGTGGAATTGCCATATTGCACCTCTTTGCAGTGATGAGATCTAGATTATTTTGGATATTTGCAATTATATACTCATCACTACATCACATTGGATCGGGATCTACTTCGACAACATGTAAGTGGCGCCCCGGTCTAATGGCACGATGCCTTAATTAATTCTACCTTTTTCTGTATTCTGTATGTGATTAAATATAGTGAAGCGTCCCAGAGCCGGGGATCCCTTCGACACGTTCCCGAAGAACTTCTGGCAGGAGTTCTCCTCGCCGTTCACAGACACGCCGGAAGATGAGGAGCTGGAGGTCACCGAGACGACCACGCACGAGCCGTTCCCCTTCTTTGCTGATCCCTATACGACGGTTAATATAAGCACCCAGCTCTCCTCGAACGTATATCTGCACTGCCGCGTCAATGACCTGCAGGGCAAGACGGTGTCGTGGATGCGGCGTCGAGGCGATGACCTCACCCTGATAACTTTCGGCCAGCACACCTATAGCGGCGACTCGCGCTACTCGCTCGAGTTCGAGGAGCCTAACGACTGGAAGCTTCTCATCCAGTTCGCCAATGAGCGCGATGAGGGTCCGTACGAGTGTCAGGTCTCCTCGCATCCTCCCCTGGTACTTCTCGTATATCTAACTATAATTGGTAGGCAACTTCCGAGTGTTATACTTGATAGCTCTCTACAACCAAGCTAACTCATTTGCAGTTCCTCATGTGGAAATTCTTGACGAGAGAGGATCGGCCACACCGGAGAAGTACTACAAGGCTGGCAGCACCATCGAGCTGCAGTGTGTCATCTCCAAAATTCCACATCCATCGTCCTACATCACCTGGCGACACGGGCCCCGTCTGCTCAACTATGACACCAGTCGGGGTGGCATCAGGTACTAGTGGTTATATTGTAAACTATCTCTTACGTTCGAGTCAACAATTGGACTCGACTTTCCTGGTCTCAACTGTTTTAGACCTGTAACACACTGTAGCTGCTCATTTCAATTTACGTACACATATAAACATATCCAAATAAGCATTACCCGGATCCTTCTCATCGCTTCTCATCGTTTTCGCAGTGTGAAAACGGATATGCTACCTGGACGGGCCCTGAGTCGCCTATACATTGCCAATGCGAATCGACAAGATACCGGGAACTACACCTGTATGCTGGGCAACGAGATCACGGAGACGGTTGTAGTACACGTGCTTAACGGTAAGTCGCGCTCTGGAGGGAGTGGGAGCCTATTTCACCGGGCTAACTGGGTTGGGTTCTCCCTCTCCCCAATGCAGGTGAGGAGCCAGCCGCAATGCAGCACGCGAACGGGACTCGCCACGGTGCCAGGCCCTCAACTATGGTTGTGTTTTTTCTATTGTACGTATACGCGTGTGTTTGCGGAATGGCGGTGGCGGTGGGCCACCCGGTCGGGCGATGACGATCTAGTGGCATCTGAAAGGTGAAAACACAGGTAGGTGGTCGCTACACAGCAGAGTTACAGTGAGGGAAATGCATACACCAGAAAATCTTGTCCAGAATTGCATTTTTGACTTTTACTCTAATCATGGGTTGTTTAATATACGATAAATAGCATAAAATGAATACTAAATACATACTAGATTTAAGTCGCAAATCGAATGATAAAAAACAAACAAACAATGTGAGAGCTCGTATGTATTTATATTATATAAGGGCGTACGCGAATATATGTAGAACATGAAATTGATTTTGAAAATTCTAGAGCATACAATTATTGTCATAATCTCAACGTACTACAAAGGCCGTGTTTATGTTGGCTAAATATTAATCATATATTATATGTATGTACGTGTGTATGTCTGTATACATCTCGTATTCGTTTTGATCCTGTCAGCTTATACATACATCATTATGCAAGCATATGTACATATTTATGTATGTACATGGATGTATACTTACCTAGATTTGTACAGGCTAATGTATTTGTCAGTAGGAGCCGGCCAATGCACTTTCAGTTCCACCTAAATCATTTTTTCGAAGGCTAATCCATTATGCTTCTAATACGCTTCTAATCCAAGGCCTTGTGAAAAATGATTTTAGCTTCTGGAAATCAAACAGCATATCAGTTGGGATCATTTTAATCGTAATAATTACACTGTGCTACAGTGGCCTTTTACTTTACACCAAACCAAAATTCTGTTGTAGACCTGTTCCAGTAAATCTCTTCCTTGGAATTTGCAATATACATAATCCGATAATCGATTTTAAAAATTCTAGAAACTTTTTAGCTGACTTCGGACGCTTTAAAAACTTTAATAATTGTCACTCGGCATCTACAAGACCAATATCAATGAGAATTGAGGTTGAATGAGAATTGAAAAGGGAAAAGTATGGCAAACCTTTCATAACTCTAAATTAGTTTCCATACAATAGCTATGCCCAAGGTTTTAGCTTTCCAGAATTTAACATTTTTTGACATTTTTTAAAGATTTTATATCTTTGGTAGTGTCAGTTCCCAGCCAAATAAGATACTAATAATTGAAATTGTAAAAAAATTACGAAATTACGTATTTTTTAGCAAATCAACCTGTACCTTACATATTTATATTACCTAGTTTCTGATATATCTTGACACTTTTTATAACTAGAATCATAGGTTCAAATATTGGCTACTTTCGCGTACCATGATTTCAAAAGCACTGTGTTTAGCCGCACTGGGATTTCCGCATCACGAATGAAAGAGTGAAATCTTGTGGAAACCAGTTCAAATTAACCGTTTGACGATATTTGGGAGTAGATATCTAGTTTTTGCACAATGTCAAAAGATGGTTTTAAGATCCACTAAACCAGATCTACGCGGTACTCAGAGAGTACACGGTTTATAATAGACATAAAGCAAAGAAAGCATTTCCGATATTAAAACGTATTTATGTATACTCTTGATCAGCATTGAAATCCATGTTTAACGTCTAGTTCCCAGAGACTAAAAGAGGTAAAGCAACCAAATTTCAGACTCCTGTGATGTCACTCTGAGAAAAATGTCTTCTACCGACCCCTCAAAGAAAAAGGTTTGTGACAGAGTCTAAAGAATAATCTTAATTGGCCAGATCTCCTAATCATTATATCCGGAATGAAGAAAAGAATTTCCCGTGACTGCTTGAGACATGACCCTCGTTACTCTCACACTCGTCCTTTTCCACAGAGTGAGAGATAGAGTGTGAAATTTTCTACGGTCTAGTTTTTCAAATCTCACACCAACACAAGTCGTTTTATCGCGCTGAAAGAGGAAGAGCGTGTAACAGCGTGGAATAAGTAAGCGCATTGACGCCGTTGCGTCGCCAATGAATTTTAGTTTGTTCCTTCCGGTTATAATAATGATCCGATCTGGTTCCAGATTCGGCAATCTGCTAGATATGATCTCTAGGATTCCGCGTTTTCGGCTTTCGCGTATCCTTAAATCCTTCTGGATGCTGGAAATTTTCATATTTTTGACGGGCGGGGAAAAGTTTTGAGCACACGCTTGTAACAGTGTGTTACAGGAGTCTGGATAGTCTCTGAGACTGTAGACATAGCTATATCGACTCGTCTAGTGCTGCTGATCAAATATATATATACTTTTCGGTATGCGGTAAGGAAACGCTTCCTTCTGGGTGATACACACATGCACTTCCAACACAAATCTAATATACTCCTATACTCTTTGAGTACCGGGTATCCTCGTACATATTGGGATACGCAATCTGCTTTATACACGTCCTACCAAAATCTAAATTTACATATAGATAAACATAACAGAACTAACTGAGTACCGGGTATTAGTAGTGGATCGAATAACATCGATTCGACTGGTTTTTGTCTCGTGTAAAAGAGTGTAAAAGTTTTAATTTTGTAGCACTGTGTCATCAATGGGGGTCTGCTTTTCCAATCCGAAGTATGGGTTTTAAGGCTCGACCTATCTCTGGCTTGAAATATTGAAATCTTCAAAAGTAATCAATTATGATCAAAATGGATATTTTTCGGTAAAAAATCGACCTGAGTGACCTAAACATTGAACATACTTTATTTTTCGTCGAGTTTTCAATTAACGTAAAAAGTAGTTGGCACAGAATTTGTGGTGTGTGGATCGATGAAAGCTGTTCCAAAAACGAAGAGAACAAAGAGAAAAACAAGACATACTATAGAAGCTTAGGAAATGTTTAACGTTAACAAACTGTGTCATTTAAAATGGATACATATCGTTTAATTATTGTTAATTCGGTTGCGGAACCAATGACCATTTGAGCCCAAACAAAAAAAATATGTATGTAACTGTATATTTATATTTGAGTCTTTTAAATGAAGGCGGGATTGAAAATTCTTACACAACTCGGACCAATGGGTAGTATGTTTGATTGTTTTTATTAAAAACGGTCCCATAACAAACCAAAAACTATATATAACGAAGTGAAAGTAAATAAAACACGATCAAGAACAAGAAACAATTGAATACGTGCAGATTTATTTTCAGTTTAGAGCTATGGTAAGGAAAATATTATTTTGAATTTATTGAAGTAACCACTGAGTCTCTATTAGCGTATCCCCCCCTTTGATGCTTTAGCTTCAAAAACTCCACACCTTTCTAAATAATGACTACATATATGACAAAGGCTAAGAAATGTCCATGAGAACAGCAAGTTTCATTCTCTCGAGCTCCCAATCATTGACGACTTTTCGAATTCATATTGCATTGAGGATTATACTGGATACTGTACATCTATAGAAGTGTATAAGAAAGTCGAAGTTCAGCTCAGAATAAAAACAAAATCTAACGAGTAGCATACATATATTGATGAGCTTCAGTGCTTAAGGGACTTGACTGACTAATTTCAATTGATCCCAACTAAACCCAGTCCAATCGTCGCCGCCACCTGGCTCTGCTGGCAGCCCGTTTCCATGTCCGTGTGCCCTTAAATAACGAAAAGAAAATAAAATAAATTTAAAAGTAAAAATGTTGGAGTGAGATAACGAAACAATACTTAGAGACTAAAGAAAGTGACGAAACGAAACTTTTAGAAAGATTTTGGTTACAGAATTATATTTATTAATTAATAACTTTAATATTTAATTATTAAACTAAATACATACATACATAATGTATAATATCGTCGTCCTCCGTCAAACCCCGATGCGACTGCGCCGGACCCCAAAAGATACAAAAAACAAAAACCAAAAATATAAATTAATGCCAAATTGTAAAAAATAAATTTGTTTTTCATATTAAAACATTTAAAATTCGTTAAATGTAGTTTTTATTATGGAGCATCCAGCGAAACTGGACGCCCGCCGCATATGTAGATATATTTATGTACATAAACACTCAGTATCGGAAATGATACGGACTCGAGTCCGTAAACCCTATATGTATTTTTTTTCATTCATAAAGTTAACGTTGTGCATTTAGAGCTCTAGCCATCGTATCCAACATCAGCATCTGTGTACATTTTGACGGGCTGAGCAGCCAGGCCATTATCGGTCTCCATCATTTCGACATCGCGGCAGGTGGCTGCCTGGAGTTCTCTTCTCACATCGGGCGTGATCTTCGGATGAGATTTTTTCCTGCAATCGGCCAATATGAAACTTGCTTGCATGTAAATAATAGTTATCAAAATACTGACTTTAGGAGTTGAATCAAGGCATCTCTTTGCTCGGAAGATATATCGTTCTTGTAGCGCTGGGCAAATGTTAGCAGACTTTGATGCCATAGCACTGGGAGCTCGCGCTTATCGTTCTCGAATCTATTTAAGCAGAACGTTAATTAGTTGAAAAAAATCGTTCTAAGCTGCAATGGAACTTACCTTAGGAAGTGGAAGACAGCCGCATCGACCACGCGATAGGGCAGGGCGTAGCGCTTGTCGAGGAAAAAGCGGATGAATATGGAATTGGCACCAGAATAGCTCATCTCACAAATCTTCAGCAGGCAGGCGGACGAGTGCAGGACGGGTATGGAGTTGCGAGCCACAACACTGCCAAAGATGATGGCCTCGCGCAGGGTGCAATCACCAGACTCTAGCAACGGCAGAATGATGCCTTTCATGAACGCGGCCGGCTTGAAAAGAGCCCGCTTAAGGGCATTGTAGAGGTGCATGTTCAGCTTCTTGAACTCGCAAAGGTCATCACGTACACGAGGTAACAGAACCAGGTTGTAGAACCTCTGGGCCATTGCCTGCGATAAGACTGAACAGAAGATGCGGGTACCCTGGAACATGGCGGCTGCACTCCAGTTGTGTGGCTCCGTGATAAATAGGATCTGCTCCCAATTTCTCAGCTTGGGTATGATTTTGAAGGCTTTTGGAATCTTGCCACTGCGGTAACGTTTTAACACATCCCTGACACCCTCGTACATTTCCTTTACCTTCGGATCGATCTCTTCGATTTTAAGCGAGCCTGCGTCGGAGATTTTGTTGTGAATATCAGCTTCTTTTTCTTGGATTTTCTGTGCGATAATTTCCGACAGTTGGAGCGTGCGCTTGACGTCTTTAGCCGGGTTCTGGAAGCGTTCGAATGCGGCCACATCGTCATCATCCATATCCATGTCGACCATGAAGTCGGTCTCGTTGACCTCCTCAGTTTCATTTGCTTGGCCATCGTCTGAACAGAGACTTTGTTTTTAGTATGTTAAGTTGATCACTAAAAGTTTATCGACTTACTCAGACTGAAGTTAACTTTCTTAACAGTGACTAAGCTGGGAAAGTTCTCCTCATTTAATTCCAGCTGTTGCTTCTTGGCAGCCGCCAAAATTTTTTGACTGCTCTTGGCGTCTATGTTCTGCAACAGATATTATTAAGAGTCATTCAGGAAGAATGGTCACATAATTCTAGACCTTACCGATGAGTCCTCCTCACGTAAATTGAACTTGCTCTTGGTTTTGGCTTTTGCAACCTTTCCTTCTGTTATCTGTTTTTCCAAGCTTACATTTTTAATTATTGCCACATTGGCCTTCTTCGGCTTGCCCATTTTGCAAAGATTAGAATAACAATATAGGAATCACAATACAATACACGTGCTGCTAAGCAATGAAAACAAAAACATTTTTTGCGTGTGTGGCAACCCTAGCTCACAGTTGCGTTTTCGATATGTAATATCGATATAACTATCGTATTGGTCCAGACTTCTAACTAGTCTGAAGAACACAGACAACGATATACTTGTGTTGCGCTGATAGGCACAAAAGTGCAAAAATGTACTCTAAAGCGCAGAAATATTCCGAATAGACGCACCTTCGATTGAAAAGAACGCAGTTTTTTGCAATCATTATGCTTATTTTGTGTAAAAGATACTACGTCTTCCTGTAGACGCAAATACTCATGATGAAGTCGTAGTGCTAATAAGCTATTATAAAATTGTTTTGTAAAGTGTATTAGTGCGGAATATATATTAATGAAAATCTTACAATGAAATGTATACTTTTTGTATAAATTGTACATGAATGATCTAAATACGGAAATATGTTTGTACATATGTTTAAATCAGGCGCTCTAAATCACTATCGGTAAATTGAACGTATCGATACTTGTCAGTGCAACTAGTCCCAGTCCCATCCCTATTTCCTCTTCGGGTTCTTTTCCAACCCTGCGCTGGCTGAAAACAGACCTGAGCCGATTCTTTTTTTTTCTGCGCTGCCTGCAAACAGACCAACAGTATGAAGGTGTGCTAAAAATTTGTGAAAATTGTGCAATAAACTCGGTGTACATTAAAAAATATTGCGTGAATACAAATGTATTAACACTACAGAAGTGAAATTAACAATTTTCGAATGGAAATCATAAGTGATGCCATTAAAAATCACAGATAGTTCTCGAGATATCCCGTATTTGTGTATTTGTATACACATACAGATGTACGTGCATAGCTAATGGTGTTAAACTCTGTTTTTTTGTGTTGCAGCTCAACGTTTCCTATCCCGCTACGGGATGCCAAAAGCTCTTCGAAGTTGTCGACGAACACAAGCTGCGTGTATTCTATGAGAAGCGTATGGGCCAGGTTGTGGAAGCCGATATTCTCGGTAATGAGTGGAAGGGTTACCAGCTCCGTATTGCCGGAGGTAACGACAAGCAGGGCTTCCCCATGAAGCAGGGTGTGCTGACCCATGGTAAGACACTGTCAAATCCCTTAATTTGGCGCTTACTAATTGTCAATAAATGTTTATTTTGACTAGGTCGTGTGCGTCTTCTGCTGAAGAAGGGACACTCTTGCTACCGCCCACGCCGCACTGGTGAGCGCAAGCGGAAGTCTGTGCGCGGTTGCATTGTGGATGCTAACATGTCTGTGCTGGCTCTGGTCGTCATCAAGAAAGGCGAGCAGCATATTGCTGGTTTGACCGACACCACCATCCCCCGTCGTCTGGGCCCCAAGCGTGCCAGCAAGATCCGTAAGCTGTACAACTTGAGCAAGGAGGATGATGTGCGTCGCTTCGTTGTGCGCCGTCCACTGCCCGCCAAGGACAACAAGAAGGCCACTTCCAAGGCCCCCAAGATCCAGCGTCTTATCACCCCTGTCGTGCTGCAGAGGAAACACCGTCGCATCGCTCTGAAGAAGAAGCGTCAGACGGCCTCCAAGGAGGCAGCCGCAGACTACGCCAAACTGTTGGTGCAGCGCAAGAAGGAGTCCAAGGCTAAACGCGAGGAGGCCAAGCGTCGTCGCTCCGCCTCGATCAGGGAGTCTAAGAGCTCTATCTCAAGTGACAAGAAGTAAATGCAGCAACTGGACTCGCAATCTTCGTTCAAGCACGGCTAGATGATGTTTTAAGAATAAAGTTGTACCCATTTATGTTAATAAATGTGAAAAATGGTATTCATTGTGTTCGCTCTTTTTTTCCTGTGAAAAATGTGCACGTACAAAGTGAGGCAAAAGAAGCTGAGATGACGTAAAAAAAGTGATTAAAGTCTGAAGTATTAAAAAGAGTGGATTCTTGTCGATGCAGAGACTGGAGTTTGGGTTGTTCATAGGATGGGATTATGGCAATTAAAGCACAGAGAGAAGCAGATTCGACTCTGTAATGCATTGTTGTTACGTTTCAACGTTCGTGTCTCTGGATTGAGGAATACGAAATACAGATTTGTGTAGGGCTGACTAATCCCAGTAGATCCTGCATGTAGACGTAAGAGTCAGGCCTCAGTTTCAAAACTTACAGCTACCGGTCTCTCCAATGGTGACGGATCCCTCTAGTATTACGACGAGGTCATTATTTTTTTAATCCTTCCTTACTTTCTTCTCTCTCATCATTCCATATTCATGAGTTTCCTAATCCTCACTAACTTTGTTCCCCTTTATCTTTCTGTCGTTTCTGTTACGATAAAAGTATAAAGCGATTTGGTGGCATATTCAAAATAAATGCTGCATAAGTACAGGGGTGTATTCGATTTGTGATGGTGGATGTGTGTAACAAGCAGAAGGAGAATTTCCGACCCTAAAAAGTATATACATTCTTGATCAGCATAAATAGTAGCAGAGTCGATATAGCCATGTCTGTCTGTCCGTCGTAGTAACAGAAAAATTCGAACTTTGACTGCAAGGCATGGGGCAAATCGAATTCAGCACTTAAGTTGGCCCACGTTTAAACCCATTAAACATAGAGGAACAAGCATCATGGTATGGGCATGATTTTCATATTAGGAAGGTGATCCAATAAGTGACACAAATCGATGATGGATCCACAAGTCTATGTGGATATATGTATAAGAATCAGCGATGCTGCCTTTTGTGTCTTCCAGCAGGACAATGACCCACAACGAGCTGGAAAGAAAGCTCAAAAGTGCTCAAAGAACGTTAAAGATCTTTGGGGTAGCCGCGTGATTCGTGGATCAATATACCAAGGGAAAGATGCGTAAATTAGGGGAACTTTAATGTTGGGATGTAGAGCTGCTCTTGTTGCTGCCAAAGGCTTGATAACAATAATAACTGAAGAAACACATTTTAATAAACAATTTCTTTGTATTTTATAGTTTTTTGATTTTTTTTTGTAAATCAGTTCTATTTTTGTTGGTGGCTTTGTTTCATAATTTTCATATGCAGTCTGCAATAAAAACCAATGCTCTGGGATAAGTCAAATTCCACCTTAAAGTTTATAGATTATTTGTAGGTTCATAAGAACCATTGTTTTAACAAAAACGTTCAATACAGACACACTAGCCTCATAGTATATGTATACTCCTCAGCAGTACATATTCAGGAATAATGCCAGCATTTCATTGCTAATGCAAATGCGTTACTTGAATCAGTCAGTCGAAGAATAAATGCATTTTTGAAATAGATTCATATGGATCTACAATGCCAGAAACACTTTATAAACACAAACAGAATTAATTTGAAAAAAAACATGGATATGGATAATGCAGCTGTTGCCTGGACCCAAATATTGCGGAATGATTTTGCAGACAATTCTGGCTACAGAATGTTTGCAAACACGGTGTCCTTAAATTTCTCAATAGCCAATGCCTCTCCCGCATCGAAACTGAAGAGAATAACTCATTGAAATCCAGTCACATGTGTGACATCCTAACATCCATTTGACTAAGTAACTCTGCAGTGATTATTAGTCCAAATTTGTCTCATACGTCTTACCAATAAGTATTCTATAGATGAAAATCCGGCAAATATCAATGTCAAATTAAACTGGAGTCTCTTTCCCTTTGGCCAAGCTTTATGTGTTTTGAAAAAGATAATAGTTACAGGGATCACTGATATTTGCGAATGATAATGGATTCGCTAGGACGTTACATACTTGCAACATGTGTATTCGTATCGTATTGAAAAAATATCATTAGAAAGTACCAAAAGCCGACCTGCAATCTACTTTAAGGGGGGCTGGGATCATTCCAGAACTAAAGCCGACGAATATTATTCAGAGATGAAAAGAATTGCTGGTCCATATGTATATTTACTAACTACCATGGCAAAAAATCCACAATTTCGGCCACAAACTGCTACCTCTTGTCCAGCATTATTATGAAAAAAAGCCCCTGCGAATATTTTCTGTTTACCAACTTGTTTAAATAGAGCTCGGGATAAGAGAAGTCATCACGGAAAGAAAACCTATTTTGAGGGCCTTGAGGAAACCCTATATTTGAAAGGAATACAACAATTGGAAAAACGACTAAATGTATGTTTGATAGACAAATGTTAGGCCAAAGCTGGCTGCAGCGACGAAGCATGTCCAAACGCAGTAAAACCTTCCCATCAACGGCTGAGAAATTGAATCTGCAGCTCTTTCTCTTTGCTTGATTCAACTCAATGTGAATGTGAATGACTCCATAGTCTTAGCACTTCATAATCTTGTGTAGTATACCCGTACTTAGTCTTAAGATAAACGAAAGAAAGAGCCATCAGTACTACTAGTCTTGGCTAGTCTTCTGCTGCATCTGTGGTGTCCTCCCTCTGATGAAAATCAGACCGACTTCGTTTCGTTTTCCATTTCGATCTGGGCATGTATTTATAGGTGTATGTATGCTGATAAGTGTATAAATAAAAACAAACAGAATGTATGTATACAGATTATGTGTATTGAGGTTAGCGACAGTCCGGTCATCATATTCTTCTTCTATCTAAGTATCGGGGTGATGTTTATCTGTTGGCAGTCTCGCTTGGAATCCCCTCCTCCGATGCAGTTTCGGCGTGTGTCTGGCTCTGGTTCTCAGTTGATTTCGGCGCCGTTGTTTTGTGCTCATAGCTTGCTAATTTGAGCTCCTGATCGGCCAGCAGCTCGAGGAGATCCTCTTGATCCTTTTGGGTGGCCAGAAGCGATTCTTGGGTAGCATCTGCACGCTGTTTTTCGGTCGCGAGCTGCTGGCGTATGATCTCAATTTCCTTGTTAAGTCGAATGTTCTCAGCAAAGTACATGTTGGCCTGATATCGGGCCGCGTTTAGCTCCTCCTCTCTGGCCAGAGAGGACTCCTGGCTCTGGACCGGAGTCTGACCTGTTGCTCCCAGCTGAGCCTTTAGCAGGGTATTCTGATCAGAGATCTGAGCCCGGAGCGACTGCTCCGCACGCAGCTTTTCCTTCAGTTCAGCATTTTCTTGGCCCAGCTCCTTTGCGGACTGCTGGAGAGTCTGGATCTGGGCATCCATGCCGCGGATTATGCCCTTGTACTGGGACACCAGAGCCGAGGCCTCCGAGCTAAGGGTCAGCTCAGTGAGCTCTATGCCATCTACGTCGAAGCCGCTCACCAGCTTGGCAATCAACGCCTCCAGTCCCTTGTAGAGTTTGCAGTACTCGTAATCGAGCAGGAGCTCGCCGGCAGACTTGGCCCTAATCTGGGCCTGCTTGCAGGCCCGGCTGTAGGCCTCGTGCCGCGAGACCTCGCCCAGCTTGTTGCAGAACGTCTCCTGGCCAATACGCTTGATGATCAGCTGGCTGATGTCCTCGCGTCGCTGATTGGGTAGAGAGTTGTCGTTGAACTGGATGCAGAGGCCCATGAGGAAGGCGCACATTCCCTGAAACAGAAACTCACGCTCGTCATGCTCATTGGAGCAAAGCTGGGCGGTCAGGTAGACCGTGGTGCCCTGCGTCTCCAGCAGAGCTTTCACCGCTCCAGGGCAATGGGCTAGCCAGACGCTGAGCAGCATCAGCAGTCCTATTTTGCTCTGCAGGCGAGTGCGTTCTCGCTGCATCAGATTGGTGCACATCTCGAGCAGAGTGTTGGGACGCTGTCCCCCAGTCGGGGCCAGGAGGACGCGAAGCAGTTCCTCCTTCAGTGCCACGTTCTCTACAAGGGTGTGCATGATGGCCACCGAAGAGAACCAGTTTGCCAGGGCATCACTGGAGAAGAGACCGGTGCAGAGCAACTGGCCCGTCGATAAGGAGCTCACATCTGTCGCACTCGATGGGAGCAAGGTCTGCACAACAGTCCTTTGAACGTCCGCGTTCCTGTAGAGATAGCACTCGAAGCAGTAGAGCACGGCACAGCGCAGGGCCAGCAGCTGCTTCTCGTTTATCATGGACATGAGTAGAACCACGATGACTGGCCGGGGCGGATTGCTGGGGGCCATCACACGACTGAGCTCGTGCTGGTTTTCGCGATCGCCGCGGATCACTTCCGCGACGGCGTTGATGGTCTCTGTGAGGATGTCCGCAGGCACACCGCTGCTCATCAGGATTTCGCACAGAGCATTTAGCAGCTGGGACTTCTGCATGACGCGCTGGCAGGCGGTGACAACTTGATGCTGGTTGCTGGGTGTGACCAGGGCGCGCACCACTTGGAGTAGGCAGTGGAAGTTTGACATCTTCTGCGGGGACCAGCCGGCCTCTTCGACTTCCTCAGCCAAGACGAACATGGGGGCCAGCCGCTGGATGTAGCTGCCTTCCTTGAAGAACTGCTGGTTGCTCGAGTTGTTCTTAAGCAGGTTCAGCAGCAGGATGAGACAGTCCTCCACAACAATCCCGCCATCAGAGCAGCCCTCCTCACGGATAATGTCGAACAAACGGTCGAAGGCATTTTCGAAGGCCACAATTTTCTGTATATTTGAGTTTCCCTTGGTGAGCTCGATGAGGAGTAGAAGAACGTCGTTGCGAATGACCTCCCGGCTGTCCGTCAGTAGGTCCATGAGCTTAGAAACCCCCATAGGGCTTACGAGGACAAGATCCTGCAGCTCTCGAGTCTTGTTTGATATTAGCGAGGTGATCAGCTGAATGGCGGCCCTCCGCACCCGGAAATCGTACTCATCCAGATAGCCCATCACCATAGTGACATTCTCCGGAGTCTTTATGAACATCTCCGTGAACTGGCCGCCGACGTTCACCGAGACAGTGGGGTTGTCTGCCTCCTCGTCGAACTCCTCGCTGGTGACAATGTTACAAAGCGTGTCCAGGGCATAGCTTATAATCTCTGTATCCTGGCCATCGTTTTGGAGGACCTGCACGAGAGGCGGCATGCCCTGGGCGCCGACTTCGATGCGGTACTTGCGCGACAACGCCTTCAGGGCCCGGCAAGCATCTCTGCGGTCCTCCAGCAGCGTAGAGGAATAAACCCGATCCACAAGCTTTTCAACCGTCTCTGCAGCGCTGGGCTGTTGACCTGGCTCCGTGCCGCCTAAGACGGTCTTAATGCCACTTTTCAAGAACTCCATCCACTTTATACCTCAATAAATAGGTTTAAAAGCAGAACTTTTTTTCTTCATTAAGTTCTGACACGTCAATTTATAAAAACAATATTGCAACAATGTTTGCACTACATCAAATGGCACCAGTGTGTACCCCACAATTGACATTAATTCGAATGGGTGACAGCTCTGGTCAATCGAAAATATTTCATTTTGATTTCCAGAAGATATTATTATGAATTACCAATGTATAAAACTCTTGCTTCCGAATGCAAAAATTAGGCAATTAATTTTGCCTATATATTTGTTGATTAATTTAGTTTCATAAAAATCGATAGTTTACTATTAAGACGGATAGCAAAAGTTAAATAATATATCGGTACAACTATCGTTAGTTTGCCATCGCCACTTTTAGCGATATAGAACATTTAGCCGTAGAGCAACACTGGCTAATTTATTGTAAACTGGGATGTGTTTTTGTTTGTTATGCATTTGTTGCTAACTTAAATTATCAATTAAATGTTTGTGTGTTGTGCCCAGGATGTAAGCCATTCTAATGAGCGCCAACACAAACCCAGAGGGGTGTGCTCGAAGCGCACTCCTCTTCCTGCTGTGGCCCCTTGTCGCCATATTCTTCTCGCTGCCGTCGCAGCCTCTTGTGGCCCAGGCCCAGGTCACAATGTGTCCCAAGAAATGCAGTTGCAAGAACAGCCCGGAAAACATACACAACCTGCGCGTGCGATGCGAGGATCAGCAAATTGTCAGTTGGAGAGATCTAGATTTTGGCGAAGAAATGCACAACATAGTCAGCATGTAAGTGAATCCTTTGGCCACAAGGCCCTGCTAACCATAATTGTTATTAACCAATATCTTGTCTTGCAGCAATAGCAGTAAAAACCTGATTTCCCACATCACCGAAGATGACTTCAGGAACTTTACAGAACTTAGGCGTCTGGACTTATCCTCGAACCTCCTTACCGAACTGGACAAGGACACCTTTGGCGACAGCCTGCCGTTAGTGGAGAAACTCAAATTGGCCAATAATTCGATCAGTCACATCTACGAGGGAGCCTTCGAGCAGATGCCCAAGCTTAAACAGCTGTAAGTGTCCTGGTCAAGTCCTGTATTTCCTATATATTTCCTTACAATTATTTACTTGATCCGCACAGAGATATATCCAGCAACCCGTTGGCCTGCGACTGTGGCTTGATTTGGCTAATTGCTTGGTCGAATGCCCGGGACGTCCGTCTCATCCCCGCTCCCAAGTGCGAGTCCCCCATCAACTTCCGAGGCATGCCGCTGAAGAAACTGAAGGTGGGGATCGACTTCCACTGCGAAACGTTGCCGCAGTCGCTACTGGAACTGGTACCGAGTCAAAACCAGGTGGCTTTCGAGGGCGACGAGCTGCAGCTGAAGTGTTTTGCGCCCCGGGTGGCCATTGGAGCGCCGCGCGAGTCCGAGGATCTGCCCACGCGAGCGTATGTCTTCTGGGGCTGGTCGGACAGAATTCGGGTGAACAACTCCACCGAAGACATCGTCTATCGTGACCCAACCAAGGTGTTCCACAATGTTAACCTAGACACACGCCACTCCACCGACTCGGGCATCCTCAAGTCTATCCTCCGCATCGCCAGCCTCACCCAGAACCACACGGGTATGTGGGACTGTACCCTGCGCTCCCAGCAGGCCAATCTCTCTCAGTCCATCGTCCTCCATGTGGTGGCCAAAGGCACACTCTACTGCGAGGCCAAGGTGGTGCACACCAACAAGGGGACCTATCACTGGCCCCGCACCATGCGGGGCGAGACCGTGCTGCAAGAGTGCGTGGAGGAGCCCACCGATGTGTCGCAGCACCGACGCGCATCCTACGAGTGCAGCCCCGAGGGCGAGTGGCTCAACCTAAACACGGACAGTTGCGTCTACGTAAGCGAGACCACGCGCATCCTGGAGCAGTTTGCCAAGGTAAACCTGACGCTAACTAAGGGACAGAACGCAGTGGAAATCGCCCGCCGCCTGCACAACTTCACCCAAATGCAGACGCAGCTCAACAAGATCCGGGACTCCATGGACCTGGAGTACATAGCGCGCACGTTGGTCAAGTACTTGGATCAGGTGGAGGTGTCCCAACAACAGGAGATTAGCCATCTGCTCCTCGACATTGTCTCGCAGCTGCTAAATCTTCCCTTTCGCCTGTTCCGCGAGGCACAGGCGGAGCAGGGCACGGGCTTGCGGCTGCTTTACGTCGTGGAGTCCTCGGCCATGCGCCTGGCCCTGTCCCAGGGCAGCGCGCAACCCAGAGACCTGCTGCCGGAGGCACTGCCTTCATGGAGGGGCGTGCAGCAGCGCAACATTTTCGTGGAGTTCTTCAACATCAGCCTCGACTCGTTCTTCAGCCTCTCTTGTGTGTGGCTGGAGGAGAGTCCGCGCGGCTTCCAGTGCAACAGCTCCAACGACACGATACCCATGTATGAGCACGGCGACATCGACGCCGCCATCCAGCTGCCTTACAACGTGATCGGGAACAGCTCCTTCTCCGCCAGCTCCACTGCCAGCTCCAAGAGCCTGCGAATCATGATCTCGCTACACAGGAACGCCAAGCTGCTGCCCAACCTGGGCGGCGCTTTTAACGAGACCCTTTCCTCGGCTGTCATCGGAGCCCTGGCGTACAGCAACGAAGGACAGTCCCTCGAACTTCAAACGCCCATGCCCGAGCTTGATCTCGATCACGATCTCGGTCTGAATGATAACGGGAAGGAGGATGTGTACCAGCAGAGGGTCACGATCATGCTGCGCGCCCATCCATACCACCACGAGCTGAGCGCGCCTCAGCCGGCGTGGTGGGACGCCACCGAGCAAAAGTGGAATCCGCAGGTGTGCCAGCAACACTACCAGCACCTCACCCTGGTCATGTTCAGCTGCAGCCGCACTGGGTACTTCGGGCTGCTTCAGCGCAGCGCGCATCTTAATGACTACCGCAGTGAAGAGGCGGGTGCCCGCTTCCACCACCCGCCGATGGCCATATATGCGGGATGCGCCCTGCTCTTTGCATGCTGCGCCGTCAACATCGTCACGTTCGTCGTATTCGGGTTCTCCATACGCATGAACCGTGTGCAGCGGCACGCCCTGGTCAACACTTGGCTGGCTGTGGCCGTGCTCGCCCTCACCTTCGTGCTGGGCATTTTCCAGACCGCCAGCCAGACGCAGTGCCGCCTCTTCGGCCTGCTGATGCACTACCTCAGCCTCTGCGTGCTGCTGTGGGTGTGCGTGAGCCTCAGTAGCATGTACAAGCGTCTGACCAAGTCCACCTCCGCCAGTCAGGGCCGGATGAGCCAGGAGACGGAGCTGCAGCGCGACCGCGACAGAGAGCAGCAAAGGAAGCCCATTTTGGGCATCTACCTCGTGGGGTGGGGCATCGCCCTGCTCATCTGTGGCATCAGCAGTGCCGTCAATATAGCCGAGTACGCCGCCTACAACTACTGCTTCCTCCATAGCGCCACCACCCTAAATGCCGTGGTCGTGCCGGCCGGAATCCTAGTGATCTTTAGCGCCATCCTGTCCCTGTGCATCTACTACCAGCTGAACCAGCAGGAGGTCAACGTGCTCCAGCTGCAGCAGCAGCAGAAACACCATCGCCAGTACTCGGACAACAACACCCAGGCCACGGAACACATTGATCTGGACTGGCTGGATGCCAATGGTAGTGCCACCGGCGCCGCCACTGCCACCGCCGCCTCAGCCGCAGCCGCCCGCAAGGAGGCCAGCAGTCTGCAGCTGCAAGATCACCTGCAAGAGCAGTACAGCACGTTGAGCAACCCGCTGAGCAGCATCGTCGACGACTTCGAGCGCTCCAACATGTCGCACCTGCGGGGGCACTTCATATTCCTGGTCCTCTTCGCCGGCGTCTGGCTTTCGGCCGCCTTCTACGTGAACAACGGCAGGCAGATCTTTGTGCTCAGCTTCGCCGGATGCTCCTCCTGCCTGGGCCTCTTCCTGCTGCTCTTCTACAACCTTAGCCGGAACGATGCCCGCCAGGCCTGGTCCCAGCACCGCGCCAGGCGAGCCAAGCCCACCAAGATGGTCACCTACAATAACGGGAGCCAGGCCAGATCCGCGCATCATGGCAATGGCCAAGGCCCTGGCCTCGGCCTCGGCCTCAGTGCCGGCGGCGCCCCGATTGTTGCCTACAAGGCCAACCCGGGAGGGGGCAGCCTGTATGACGCCAACAACTCGGCCGGATCCCGCTCCAACAGCCAGTGCTCACGCAGCATGCGTAGCCAGACACGGAGTCAGACGCGCAGTCAGCAGGAGCAGCTGCTGGGCGTGACCGGAGTGACCATCATTAACAACACCAACAGCCAGCAAGGCGTCGGGGCAGGAGTGTCGGGAGGAACAGGAGTGGGAATGGTGGGCGCAGGTGGAGCCGCAGCTGCCCCACACAGCCTAAACGCGCTCCTCCACGGCTCCAGTCACGACCTCATCCCCTCGGCGGAGATCTTTTACAATCCCAACCAAATCAACGTGGCCCGGAAGTTCTTCAAGAAACAGAAGCGACTGGCGAAGCGCAACAACTTCGAGCTGCAGCGCCAGACCATGCCTCAGATGCAACTCCAGAGCCATCAAAGCCTGAGCGACGCCAGCTCGGAGCAACTGTACAGTCGCCACCACAATGCCATGACCTTGCTGGCCGGGGGAACAAAGGTGAACAACACAAACCTGCACTACAAATCGCCAGCACCGGGCCCCAGTGCCTCAGCGGCCGGGATGCACCTGACCCGGGGGAAGGAGAGTGGTTGCGCCAGCGCTTCGGCACAGGTACAGGGGGAGGGGCTGCAGTTTAAGCGCTTCGTCCCCGCGTCCGCCTCCTCCGCCAAGATGCAGATTATGCAGGCCAACATCTACACCAACATCCCGGAGACGCTGACGCCCCAGCACGAGGTGATCAAGCTGAGGGCGAATGGCCGCAACACCCGCACTCGAACGCCTTCGCTGCTTGACGAAACGCTGCACGAGCAGGACGACGACGACGAGGAGGATGAGGTCGACGAGGAAGAGGCCGAAGGCGACGATGCCAGCTCCTTGGATGAGCATGCTCCGCTCTATGCCAACACTGTGCAGACGCCCAGCACAATGAACAGCCTGTTCCGGCAGCGCGGCCACGTACAGGCTCAGTCCCAGTCCCAGTCCCAGTCCCAATCGCAGTCCCAGTCCCAGTCCATCCGCTCGACTCCGATGACTCCGATGAAACAGCCGAGCCTGGAGGCAATGAACAGCCTGGGCCTGCCAGACACCGGTCAGGAAGAGCCACTGCTACAGAAGTATGAGATTTACGTGTCCAACTCGCTGCAAGTGACCACGAGCAATAGCATCCAGCTGGACGACGACTTCCCCAGCGTCCTCATTCGCTTCAGCCAGCAGCAGCAGTCCAAGTCGCTCAACAACATCAGCGAGATGCTCAGAGCAAGTGGAGGGGGAGGAGGCGGATCCGCAGGAGACCCCAGTGGGGCGGGATCATCGGGCAATGCGCAGGAGGAGCCGAGTCATTTTCCTATAGAGAATGGCTCCGGCTCTCTGCAGGAGCAGCATCGACAAGTATACTCCTGCTCCAGTAGCAATCTCAGCCAACTAAAGGCGGCCTCGGCCGCGGCCGGGCATCAGGGGGCAGAGGACGACAGCCGCCTGCTCTCGGCCAGCCCCACGAACGAGAGCGACCTGAACTACCAGAACTCGGAGATTAGCATCCGCAGCCATGGCCTGTACGCCCCCCAGGCGGACAACGACCTCAACCTCACCCTGACGGACGACTTCCGCTGCTACCAGTCGTCTAATGCCAGCGACGCCGATGTCGATGTGCTCAACGAGTTCGATGATGAGTTTGTGGCGGCCAGCGGAGACCGACCCGGTAGCGCAGATCAGGAGCTCCACCACCTCGACCCCGACCAGGACACATCCATCGATGAGCTGTACGAGGCCATCAAGTGTCGTAGTCCCCTGCGCAACAGGCAGGACAAAGACTCGAACGAGAGATTCGATCGTGAGAGAGAGAGGTGCAGGGAGAGAAAGAGTCAGGTTCAGATTCAGAAAGAGCGAGAGGTGGAAACGGAAGCGGAGCCAGAGCGAATGCCAGCCACATCTGCAGAGCCGAATAGTGAGATCCTAGCGAGCAGCAACAGCAAATCGCACGAAAATCTCAACGAAACAATCGAAGATGACAGTAGCCAGAGTAGCGTGATTTCGTACATCGATCCCAGGGCCAGCAACGAACCCAGAGGCTATCCTAGTTAGCTCGTGGGCTGGCACACAGCACCGCACCGTACCGTACCGTAGCCTCAGTTCAAGCCCCAACCCCCAACCTCCTTTGACCTACTTAGCTCATAGTCATATATGTATATACAGAAAATATACACCGCGCCCCGAACACAGTCCCCATTCCGTCTCCCGCCGTGCTTGGCCGGATGCTTCCAAGTGCCAATGCCAAAGTATTCTTTTCGTCATTATAACCTAAGTTTGAACCCATGATACTTTCACCGCATCCGCAGACACACTGGCACTCTATGTATGGCTGCGCATCATCAGGCCCCCCAACTCCCAACCCCCAACCGACACATCTGCATTTGTGATCGGCCGTGCCAGCCACATGAACTTGTAATTATAGGAAAAGACCCCGCCAACCCACCAACCCAACCACTATTTATTATAACTATTGACTTTCGATTGCCCACATCTTTTTGTTTCACCTCACCATGAGATTATTTCATTATTCAAATAGAATATTTGCATGTCATGAATCATCGAAGCCTTCCCTTCCTCTCCCCACCCTTCCTCATTCGATATGCTTAGACTTTAAGCCTTTGGTAAAACAGAATTCATTTAAACCTACACTAAAATCATATTTACACATAAATAAATTAAATGTTCACACTCGAATGCCATGCGTCCTTGAATTGTATTTGGATGGGAGACAGCATATGCATAGACATAGATCTAACGAGCCTACAGATGACCACCCATGCGGATGCAATGTATTTTATCTGACGATAAATAGGCGTACTCATCATCTATCAAGCAAGCCCAGATCGATTATTCATTGCAGGAAGAAACATCCTTATCTCTCTTTTGGCAGCCATCTCCTGGTAGCTTGGTATCCGTTCAACATTGCTTATGAAATATCGTCATAGATAGACATCGGCTTAAAGTTATTAAAGAGATTACAAATGTTGGCATTTATTTTGAGGACTGATGGAATACAACTACTTCTTAACAACTTCTTGTTAAGAAAACACACATATACATACATATGTATCAATTCGATTAGTTATTATAAGTTATTTTCAGTTTGATTTCTGGATTCATCTAGGAATCCGTAGATAGGGAGCATATTGGAACAAGTTATTATCTCATGATGGTTTTGGTTTTTACTCGAGTGCACACATAATATGTGATGCTGATTATGCTGATGATGATGTGTTCTATAACGAATTAAATGATTCGACAACAATGCTAAAGGGCGTAAAAACACCACCCCAATTGTCATAGCCGTTGAGGCGACCATCGGGATGTTCGCTTAAATCAATATTAAATATTTTATCTTAGGTTTAGAACAATAATAATAACAAGAAATGTGTAAATTATAATACGATATTGCTGATAGATGCCACCATTGTCTATGGTGACATAGCGCTGTGCGTGTTTCTGATGGCAATTTGTAGGGGTTATGATACTATACTCCACTTTCCTTAGATGCTGCGTATGGACTTCCAGCGTCGCAGCAAGAGGCAGGAAGAGGTCAACCCACTGGAGTACTGACTAAATTCGCTTATGTTTATGTTGCGTGTTGGAATGTCAATTTTCTCCTTCAAAGTCTGCAACAAAATCAGGAAGTAGAAATCGACCGAATTTAATATATGTATGTTTCTGTGCACCTTGTATGCATCTGGAATTTCCGTTGGGGATCTGTGGACAATGGTTCCATTTATGTACAACATATTCGCCGCAGTCTCCTCGGGCAGTGTTAGCTTCTGGTAAGTGAAGCTAGCTTCTCGCTCCATCCGCTTCACGATCTCCTGGCACGGTGCACTCTTGCTTACACACAGAACATCCGGCCCGGCCATGGTGACGTAGTATTTTAAACGTTTTGATCCATTTACCTAGTGGACAGAAAAAGCGATGAGTTGTGCATGAAACTCGCAGCGTTTCGACTCGATATCCGTGGTTAAACTCACCCGAATTGGTGTGACTGGGTACTCGGGATATGCCATTGCCACGGCTCGCGCACCTTCTTCGTTGGTAGACCCAGATATGCCAATGAAAAACTCTCGTCCTAGTTGTGGGAATATTCTGTATGAGATTTATGTTCGTTTGTACATATAGCGAAGGTGAATAGGCTTACCCGTGAAGAGCACATCCCCGCCATCCAGTCGGGCATGAGGGTCTTCCATTTCTATGACGGGAATATCAAGCTCTTTCTTTAGAATAATGGCCATGCTGGCTGCCTCGCGTCGACGCTTCGGGTTATTCGATCGGCATATGAGGGCCACTCCATTGCAGATCACCGCACAGTTCTCGACGAATACGCCCTCCGGTAGCATGTCGTCGGGCGGCAGTTCAATCACATCCAGGCCAATATCCCGCAGCAGAGTGCAGTATTGTTCGTGCTGTCGTTTAGCCAATTTCAGGTCGAAAGGCCCGCTCTCGAGTAGAGCCTCCGAGATTCTGATTGACAAAGGCGGGAAGAAATGTGCGAGATAAACTACCATTCAACAAAATAATTAATTAACGCCCCACCCACGGCTGTGTGTGTATTTGAGTGGCTGATGTGGTGGTGGGGTAGCTGGGAATTGGATGCCCATCCTATGCCCCACCCAACCAATCAAGTGTACACATGAATTATGGACAGTGCATGACCTAATTCCCTGTGATAGGCACCCTCCATTCAAAGGCTTTTGAAACAGGATCTGCAGCGGTGGCTGCAGCGTGACCTGTACTCCACTCACCTGGCCACAATCGCGTGCGTGTATTTCGGTGACATGTTTCGCGGTGTTTGGCCACCAGTGGCCTTCCCAGCCCTTCACAACAGAGGTCGGCAGTAGTGATGTAAAAAAACATCGATGCATCGAGCATCGATGTTTTTCTGCCGATGTTTACTGATGTTTTCCGATGTTTTTGCTGCTACCGATGTTGAGTGATGTATCGATGTTTTGCAAAACATCGACCGATTAGTTTCAAATTTGTAAGCAGCAAACACAGCAATGCCTGCCTCATTTGAAAGCAATCCTTCGTGTTTTTGGGACGGTGTGAAAAGTACCTATCCTAATTTATACAAAATTGCAATGCAATTTTTACGTTAATGGCATCTTCTGGGTGTATTTTGAACGGGTGTACTCAGCGGCTGCTAACATATTAAGTCGAAAACGTAATAGACTTTCACCTGTGCGACTAAGCCGCATTTTGGTTTTTGGAAAGCATTGACAAATAGTACTTATTTGAAATATTAGTTATCTCTGATTATATCTACAGTGATATGTAAAAGACTGCTATGAAAGCATAATCATTTCTTTTATGTTAAATATTGTTTCGTTTAGTCCTATGATATGTAAAACTCTGCTATGAAAGCTCAAGTTTAATTTTTCCTTTGTTGAATATTCGGTTTTATAATCAAATGGGAAAGTTTTGAAACATCGGTCATACATCGATGCATCGAAGAATAAATCCGATGTATCAATCCAACATCGATGTTTGATTTTGACAACATCGATGGACATCGACATCGATGTTTTCATTCAAATTTACATCACTAGTGTGAATTGCAGAGTGACCAGTGTGACTTGTCGATAAAATATACCGTCCGACCCTCAGAAATATACCGTAATATACCGTTTCATTTAAACAAAATATGGTAAATATACTGTCGAATTCAAGTTATATATTCCCCGATTTGTATATTCCGTGGAATATTACTAGCTTTCTAGATCTCTCAGCCCTGCCCACATAATTTTATCCAATTGATAAATCTATTTTCTACTTGACTGGCTTATTTTAAATACTAGACTTTGATTTGTTTGCCTCAATTTCGGTTCCTCAACAACAATATTGCGTCTCGTATGATGAAAAACCGAACTTAGCTCACTTAAGCCGCATCTATTTAAATAGTTGAACTACTTGAGGTAAATGTCGGAAAATATTAACGATTGTAAATTGTTCTTGTAGACTCATGCCAGCTTTCCTCTGAACTTAAAAAAAAAACACTATATCTTTCACCTGAACTGCGCTTACATTATTAAATTTTTTAAATTGATGCATCATTTTTCTACTTAACTGACTTATTCTTAATGTTTGCTTTTATTGGATTTTGCGTAAGAAAAGGTTTTAGCGAAAATGGGCAAGCAAAACAAACGTTCATATTGCTATATTTTGATATTCCGTCGAATATTACTAGCTAGAAAGAACGCCCAACTATGCCCACATAATTTGATAAAATTAATGAATCTATTTTCCACTTGACTGGTTTATTTTAAACTATTGCTTTTGTTGGATTTAGTCTAAAAAAGGTTTTAGCGAAGAGGGTCAAATAAAAATAAAACGTAAGAGAAAAATCGTTACTATTTCCCAATTTTGATATTCCGTTGAATAATGCTGACTAACTAAAACCCTTAGCTCTTCCCATATAATTTTAGAGCATTGATGAATATATTTTCTACAAGATTCTTTGAAGTACTCCTTTTTATTTTATTGTACGAAAATGGCAAATATGCTGCTGGGCCGGCTCATGAAGAGAAAACCGAAAACCTGGGAGCATACGCAGAAAATTCAGATGGTATGTTCTCATTATATGAACTGACACATCTATATATGGTTAACAATCGATCTTTAAGCCGCAGCCCTGCTCCCAACTCAACTGGAAAGCCAAGCTGATGAATAAATGTTTTCGCTCTCACTGCATGCTTCTCCCATAAGGCTGTCTTTGTTTTTGCAATTAGTCAGTAAAGCCTGTCATGAGGCTTTAAATTAATATTTTACATACATATTCGTTTCTGTGAACTTTTTACCAGTTCCAGTTCCAACGCAATCACGGATGGCAGCGCTGCCGGCGTCGCTGCCTCATTCGTTTTTTCCACTCACTTGTTCCACTTAGTAAGCAGCCACAGCTAGCACCAAATATTTTTAATAAACGAAAATATTAAGAAGACGAATTGCAGATTCCGTTGACAGATGGCCAGTCGTGGTGGTGGCTCTGCCATTATCCACGGCAATGTGACGGCTACAGCGGTGACAGTTGAGTCCATCTCTAATGTGCTGACCACCGTGACCTCCCTGCACTCGAACAGCGTTAACATCTCTAACAATATATCCGCCGGAACGGGAGTGGACATCCAGGATGGGGGCGCCGGTGCTGAAGGAGATACCTCCAAGCCGATGTATCCGCGTCTGTTTAACAAAATCGTGCTGACGCTGGAGAACAGCCTGATACCCGAAAGCAAAATTGATGTGACACCGTCCAGCCAGGACGGGCTGGACCACGAGACGGAAAAGGATCTGCGCATACTTGGCTGCGAGCTAATACAGACGGCTGGAATCCTATTGCGGCTACCACAGGTGGCAATGGCCACCGGTCAGGTGCTCTTCCAGCGATTTTTCTACTCCAAGAGTTTCGTGCGCCACAATATGGAGACCGTGGCCATGAGCTGTGTGTGCCTTGCTTCCAAGATAGAGGAGGCTCCCCGCCGAATCCGCGACGTTATCAACGTGATCCACCATATCAAGCAAGTGCGGGCCCAAAAGTGAGAGACATAAACCCGAATCCGTGAATTATGTATCTGATTGATTCTCCCTTTTCTCTTGCAGGGAGATCGCACCCATGGTATTGGACCAGTACTACACAAATCTAAAGATGCAGGTGATTAAGGCCGAGCGCCGAGTGCTTAAGGAACTGGGCTTCTGCGTCCATGTAAAACATCCCCACAAGCTGGTTGTAATGTACCTGCAGGTGTTGCAGTACGAGAAGCACGAGAAGCTTATGCAGCTCTCGTGGAACTTTATGAACGACTCATTGCGCACGGACGTTTTCATGCGCTACACCCCGGAGGCGATAGCCTGCGCCTGCATTTACCTGAGCACTCGAAAACTTAACATCCCGCTTCCCAGCAATCCGCCGTGGTTCGGCATCTTCCGCGTACCCATGGCCGATATCACAGACATCTGCTACCGAGTCATGGAGCTGTACACGCGTCCCAAGCCCGTCGTAGAGAAGCTAGAGGCTGCCGTCGACGAGCTGAAAAAGCGTTATTTGGACGCCCGCACCAAGACGAAGGAGGCCAACACACCGCCCGCCGTTATAACGGTGGACCGCAACAACGGCTCTCACAATGCCTGGGGCGGATTTATCCAGCGAGCCGTCCCACTGCCACTGCCGTCGGAAAAGTCGCCCGAGAAGGATTCCCGGTCACGATCACGCTCCCGGACCCGCACGCAGTCACGTACCCCACGCTCCCGATCGCGCTCCCGGTCGCCAAGCCGCGAACGCACGAAGAAGTCGCATCGTGGGCGCTCCCCGAGAACGCGCTCTGGCACGCCGCCGAAGCACAAAAAGAAGTCTCGACACTACTCGCGATCCCCTACACGCTCCAGCTCCCCCCACAGCAAGCACCGCAAGAGGTAAGTGGCATATGTCTTCCCTCTGGATAATCTCATTAATTTTGAGGGCTATTTTCAGGAAATCGTCGCGGGAAAGATCCGACTACTATACGAAAAAGGATCGCTCCAACCATGCCGGCAGCAACAACATTGGAGATGATAAGTATCGCAATTCCAACTCTAGCTCTGGAAAGCACAGTCGCTATTCCTCATCGCATCGCAGCAGTGTCGGTGGCGGAGGCGGCAGCGGTGGCGACCCCCGTCATGGTAGTCGCGCCGGCCACAAGCATAGGGATGAACGATCCAGGGACCGCAAGCGCTAGGAATTGTCTATGATTTTTTATTTTTGCATTATATTTTGACAAATTTGTATGGTTTTTATATTACAGCTCGCATCAACCTATTTCGCAAAATGTAACTTTATATTTCGAAAAACGTCCATGCTTAATTAATAAACGTAATTTCTCTATACTGAGTCGCCGCGAAGAAGCCTTGCCGAGCCTTCAACTTGGAGGCTGTCTAACTATTTATCTTTGGAAACACTTTGCATATATGCATGTATGTACACATCACAGCATCTGCTAGAGGAAGCTAACGACTGAGAGATACGACGGAGAGAAGGAGATCAAGGGGATAAGCACCATGTAGAAAATTCTTCCTTGTCGAAGGGGAGAGCTGAAGAACACAGCTTCGCGTGAATGTTGTGTGGAATAGCGAATGCAGACAAAAGCATTATGTCATGGGTAATTTTTCTCCCCATTATCTTTCTCCATTCTCCATTACATATGGGGGAATCATTCCTAATTTTATTTTAGAGAGATGGATGCTGAATCAACATGTCAAATTGACTGGCTTCTCTCATCCAAGTAATACTCGGTCAATAAATTTTAAATTGTTGTAGAGTAGGACATCAATGCAATATGGGGATGCGAGAGCGAGATATCGCGGAACTCTGTGGTAAATGTCAGAATGAAAAAGCTAAATATGGTCGCAATGATCCACTCTGAAATGCTACTGATCACGTGAAAGTACCAGCCACCGTCCGAAGGATACCTAAAATGAATACAGATGCTTATGAGAGATTCTTTTAACGTCCACAAACGGTTGCTTACCATTTCCTGGGGTTCTGCCCCTTGAATAGGATGTGTGACATGAGCCCGGTCACGGAAAGTAGGATGAAGAGTATCGTACAGCAGACGGACATACCCAGACGCAGATGGGCGTAAATTCGAGTCCCAGACATGGGATAAATCATGTACGAAATGAGCGCCTGCATCCAGAAGTAGAGAGTGCCGCAGCCGAAGCAGCAGAAAGCGCCAATGAAGTGCACAATGCGCACATTTGTCTCCTGGAAGTTGCCCACGAAGCTAATGCCCAGACAGGACAGCATTCCACACCACAACGCCACGCGACTGTGACGCTTCACAGCGATGTCCAGATCGGGATGGTGCTCGTACAACTGCATCACTTGTCTGTAGCGCACATAGATGGTAATTCCTACTGCAAGCCAAACAACAATTAATAAAAAAAAAACCCAAAAGAGTAATAGAGTTGCTGACTAGCACATGACTCATTAGCCAGCCACTCGAGAGGCAGACTCACACAGAACACTGCCGATATTAATGAGTTGGCCGAACACGCAGCTCTCGGGCGAATAGGTGGCAGCATCACTTATATACGGCACCGTGGGAACGACGTGACCTTCCAGGACCGCGGCAATGTATCTTGAAGGGTGAACCAAAAATGTTTTGTGCTCCGTTAGAAGATTGAGGATATTTTCTTTAACAGAAAACTTACGTGCCAATAAAGGTCACCTGGAACACCAAGAATACGGCTACCGGCAGTAGGTAAACTTGTGACATCTTGCAAATGGGGTAGCAGAACAGAACAGTAGCAGTGGAAATTTTCTGGCTGCATGCAACATGAAATTGCGCTGCAGACAACAGCAAACAATGCGAGTATTGGGTATTCGCTGAGTGAGGGATGGCGGGTTTGCGGGATAAGGAGGAGGAAGGGAGACAATGCAAGGCCGGGCTGCCAACCCGCCTTTTACTGAATGTACCTAAAAAAGACCTCTACATTTGATTAAAAACAAATCAGTATTTACAACAGTAAAGGTCGAGGACTTCTAATTAGGGCATTATTTTATGAGTATGGACATCAAGGAGTTAGTGGAAATAGATGGCTCCTATTTGGAGGGCGGAGGGCAGGCCCTGCGCAACGCTCTCAGCTTAAGTTCCATCCTCAGGCGTCCCATCCGCGTTGTCAAGATTCGCGCCAACCGACCCAAGCCCGGCCTGGCCAACCAGCATCTGCATGCCGTCAACATGCTCAGGGATATAACCAATGCCGACGTCATTGGCAACGCTCTTCTCTCGACGGAGCTGGAATTCAGGCCCCGCACCATAATAGGAGACATGTATAGGGAAGATACGCACACGGCTGCCAGCATCACGCTGATCTACCAGACGATACTGCCCGTCCTCCTCTTCGCCGGCAGGCCGTCGCGCGTTGATGTGACTGGTGGAACGAATGTGTCCTTTGCGCCCCAGGTGGAATACATGTTGCAGGTGCTGCAGCCGAACCTGAAACGCTTCGGCATCGGCTTCGAGCTGAAGGTTCTGCACTACGGGTTCTTTCCACGAGGCAACGGACGCTGCCAGCTGGACGTGGAGCCGGTGCGCCAGTTGAGTGCGGGCCAGTTCCTGGATTTTGGCCAGCCCCAGACGGTAGACGGAGTGGCGTTCTGCGCCGGCCGTATACCCATGAGCCTTGCGACCGACATGCAAGAGACGGCCACCCGTGAGATTCACAAACTCTGGCCGTACCAAGACTGCCGGATTCAAGTGATTAAACACTCCCCAGACAAGGCGCGCGACAATGGGGCGGGAATCGTAATGGTGGCCCATACATCCACCGGCTGTGTTCTGGGCTCCTCAGCCTTGGGCCAGAAGAAGGTTCTAGCAGATATGCTAGGATCAGAGGCATCCTCCCAACTAGCGGGTTACATGAGTAAGGAGATCTGTGTGGATGCCAACCTCCAGGACCAGCTGATTATCTTCATGGCCCTCGCCAGTGGCTGCTCCCGCTTCCGCACCGGCCCCCTCACGCAACACACCCGCACCGCCATCTACGTCGCCGAAAAAATGACTGGCGTGAAATTCTGTGTCGACATTAATCAGTCTGGACAGACTGTAGTCAGCTGCGAGGGCATCGGCTACCGCAACGAGTTTATCCAAAGAAATGAATGATCTGTTCTATTGTTTTAATTTATTTTTATTTTTAACGAGTACGCAAATATATCGAAAGCTGCCTTAGAGGCGGCGGAATATGGCCAGGAAGTGATCACCTTTGTTGCGTACTACCTTGGCACCCTCCTCGCTGCTCTGGTATAGCTTCGGTGTAATGGGATCCGTATTCTGGTGGAGACAACAAGAAAATTTTCAACAAATCTGCAATTTGATTACCACTTCGTAAACTTACAGCCTCCTCTTCGTCCAGACGCTCGTATAGCGGATGCTCGTCCATGTGTGTCACAATCCAATTGTGCAGGTCCTCCACATCAGTCATGGTGTACACTAAGCCCTGCAAAAACGATTATCGGTGTATGAGTCTATGAAAAACAAACTGAACGGAAGACAAAGCGGTACTCACACCCTTGCGCAGGACATAGGCGTACTCGGAGAGCAGGGCCTGATTGATTATGCGCCACTTGTGCTTCGCACGCTTAAAGTGCGGATCTGGATAGAGGAAGAACATCTTCTCGAGTTGCCCCTTCCGAAAGTAGTTGGGTAGATATTTCATAGCGTTCGTGCGCAGGCAGGCGATGTTCTGATAGGCACCAGTACCCGAGCTCTTCTGTCTGAGGGCCGTAATGCGATCCAACACATAGTCTGAAACTTTGACCCGTATTTCCATCCCAATTGATATCTTTTCGGGAAACAGTTCACCAAGTGTGACCAGAAAGCCACCGTAGCCACAACCAATGTCGGCAAAACTTACTTCTTGGTCGGCCCGAATGCTCGGGTACAGGGAACGCCAGTCCACATCCTCTGGCCGTGCTGGGCTATAGGAAAAACATTGTTCAGTGAAATTTCCCGCAGACATTCGAGTGCGATCTACTTACTAGTCGAAACAATGATCCGCTATTGGATTAGAATGGGCTCGCTGGCGATAGTACCGTTTCTGGGGCAGACCGGTAACTGCTGAGGTCGAGGTGAGCACCTCATTTTCCGGTGTAGTGGTTACCATGATTTGTCTGCAGGAACAAAACAATGGACCAAACAAGCACGTTGACCGAATACACAATTGACAGCAGTTGGCAGCGCCAGCAGGGCAGGGCTGCACATCGCACTTATATTCGACGTTGACATTGGACTTTGCTAACTTGACTTGACTAACTACAAAAAAAAAGAGACAGCCTTATGAGAGCAGTATGCAGTGAGAGCGAAAGATATATAATCGTCAGCTTGGCTTTCCAGTTTAGCTGAGAGCACAGCTGAGGCAGAGATTCATTATTATTTCTGTAATTTTCAGAACCAATTTTGCTGGCTGGCTGTGTGTTGGAAAACATAATTTCGTCAGAAATGGTGCCTTAGTTATTCAACCTATAGCCGGGAGACGGCTACGATCCTTAATTTTGCGTTTTGTCTATTATGCTATCTCTCTCTTCGCAGCAAAGATAGCAAAGTCTAAATCCCAGACCTCTTCCTTTGCCATGATTAATTCTTGTTATTTTCTGATAATATCTTAAGTTAGAAATAAGTTAGTCTAGCCAGATAAGGATTTTGATTCCGTTGGCGAATAAGAATAAATAAATAAATAAAAGAAGCTTGCCCCACGATATCAGAGGAACTATTATTTTGTTAATGCTTTAGATGCTAATTTTGTTTAATATAGCATAAACAAATATAATGAGCGGTTATAGATATGTAAATATACATAACATATTTCATACACGACTTCACATTAGCATATTTGTCCATTTGGGTAGAGTATATTTACCCTTATATTTTCTTATTTAATATCTACTAACAGGCAGATATGCACGAAACAGTCTATCACTAGACGCAAGTGTCCTCATAAGCCCCAGCAAACCAAACGCTCACAAATGATATCGCATACGAGTCAAATGCGAGACTTAACCCGACAAAACGCTCGCATTCGGACCCGCATATGATAGAAATATGATACTTGTGTCGTTCAGTTGGTGGCAGTGAAAGTATCATTTATGATAGCTCGCAAAGGAATCGTTTGCGAGCCTTTTGCGATATAATTTGCGAGCCTTTTGCGATATAATTTGCGAGCCTTTTGCGATATCATGTATGAGCCTTTTGCGATATCGTTTGCGAGTCTTTTGCGATATCATTTGCGAGTCTTAGATCTATTATATCTTTGCATAAGATCTAGACAGAGTAATGGCGTAGGAAACCTACACACACATACACAGTGCTGCTAATTTTTTATCAGAAAAAAGCTGTTTCTACCCAGTGGACCAAAAAGCGATAGTAAAACGGAACTATCATAAAATGTCCGGAAACGGAATAAGAAAAGAGCATTTACCGGACAAAAACCGAGTGACGACAAAGTCTCGCAAAACTATCACAAACGGACTTAAAAACGGGTGAAAAATGGACAGAAAAGTGAAACATAACGGAAAAAATAGCTAGGTACGGGTGAAGTCTCACAAAATGCTCGCAGACGGACTCAGAAAAGAGCATTTACCGGACGAAAACCGTGCGACGACCAAAGTCTCGCAAAACTATCACAAACGGACTTAAAAACGGGCACAATACGCAAGAAACGCCGGATCACGTAATAGAACATGAACGAACATGTCAAACTGCGGCCCGGCACAACGCCGCCGTTTTTTCGTTTTGTGTTATTTTGTGATTAAAAACCGCAGCAGAAGGACGTAAACGGGGAGTTAAATCATAAAAATAGTAAAAAAAAAAAGGAAAAATCGGTAAGTAAATTATTATTTATTTAATAGTATGGTATAGTGCACAAAATTTGAGTTTGGGAGCAGTATAAGACCCAAAAAAGACAACAATCTACACATTCTGTGTACATATGTATATATTTTTTCTAGCCATCTTCTTGTGCATCAGGCCACCTGCGTCAACGAATATAACAATTTTCGCTGGAACTGACTTTGCGCACCATTTTTTTTATACACAGGGGAGTACTAATATTAATAAAAATGCCATTTAAGCGAAAAAGCAGGAAATATATATGCGAATCGAAGCATATCAATAAAAGTACATCGAACATTAATATTATTGAAGAAAATGCAGCAGACTTTAGTTTTCCAGAGCCATGTAATGATTTTTCAAATGTTTTAGTTCAGCATTTCGAATCAACCAAATTTCTACATATTGACCAAATAAATGTTCAAAAATTATTTCTAATTACAGCTATCATGGAAAAATGAATAACCTGGACAAAAAAATGGACCTTATGCTTAATAAACTCGACGGAATAAATATCCTGGACAAAAAAATGGACATCATGATTAATAAACTGGACCGAAACACAGCGGAAATGGTGGCTCTTCGTTCCGAAATTGGCTCCATTAAGGCGAAGGTTTGTGGTGAGATCCGCAAACCCAAAGTAGTTCTGCCTTGCCAACCGCTCACAACCATAGAAGAATTGGATGATTTCGAGCATAACTTGCAGGAAGAAAGTTTCTTCAAAAATATGGTAAGTGTTTTGCGTGAAACTCACGAGCTAAAAATATATTCAAAAATAATTCTGTACAGATCGCAGAGTTAATGATGTCGGGCGAGAAAGCATTCGACAAATGGATTCGGAGTTCTTGGCGTTCAATTGTGTCCGACGAGGTCGCACGACAGTGCTCTTGGCGGGGCACAGAGGAGAAAAAGTGCAATAGGGGCTTGCGGGTTACTCTAGCCATCCGTAGTAAGTATTATTTTCAAATTAATATGTATATTGTAATATAATAAACATGATTATTTGTTTACAGCGGGATTTAAGGAAAGATTTTCGTTAGAAGACGCCGATTTCGACCGAATCACGCAAACATTTTTCCAGTACGCTCAGGACAGAGTGTCGAAGGAGAAAAAACAAATTAAATTTAATTCACTAATATAATTTTTTAATCTATTTATGTACCACCAAAATTAAAAATTAAAATAATTAAAATAAAATTAAAAATTATAAAAAACAAAACAAAAATTGTGCGTCCCTTTTCATATTACTTTCGGCTCGCAAAAGATATCATAAAGGGCTCGCAAACGATATTGCAAAAGGCTCGCAAACGATATTGCAAAAGGCTCGCAAAAGATATCATAAGCGGCTCGCAAAAACCTCGCAAAAAATATCATAAGCGGCTCGCAAAAGTCTCGCAAAAGATATCATAAAAGGCTGAGCTACCGAAAATGAAACTTTCACTGCCACAAACTGAGCGACTAGTGATTCATTTTCTTATCGTTTTCGGATCTCAATTTAAAGTTTTACACGGCTGAGTTTCGCTTAGCTCTCGTTTGCGATATCTTTTACGAAGTTTTGGTCCACTGGGTAGCTTAGCAACATTATAAAAAATCCAGAATTCCCGCCTCCCGCAATTCAGAAATTTTTCCCGCATTTGGTCTTGAAACAGCTAGATTTGACGCGAAAGAAGCGTAATCGGCTGCCTCAATTTTACAATCAGTACTATTTTATTTATCACCCTATAAAATGGAAGCCCCATGAGGTCTGTCCCGCATTTGTTCAGCCTTTGTCCGACCTATAACTATCCAGCTGAATTTTTTATCTTAAATAATTCTCACAATTCTGCCGCCAACAGAATTGGTCGGCCGGGAGTCTAATTCAGGTACTGCTCCTTTGTCTTGCGGTACAGTCTGAAATTACTGCCCCCTTTTGGCATAACAGCCGCGATTTTGCCCACGTCTAGTGGTATCATGGTTGTTCGGGTTTCCTCTTGGCCTTATAAAGTACGGCATAGATCTTCAAAATGACCCGGCGTCTTGGTGGGCGCGCCATATTGTCGCGGCACAGCTGTTCGAGCGTTATTTTGCGCGGCGACGACACCATCACCGAGTGAATCGCACGGAAGAACCGTTCCCAGATACTGTAGTTGACTTTCATAGAAAGTATTTTACTTATAATTACATTAAATTCATACATACATAGTTGGATATTCGTTAGTAACTCCGCGAGATCTGATTAAATAAAGAAGATTTTTCTAGTGGGTCTTGGTTTAATTTGAATGTTTCAACAACATTTTGGGCCTCCTCCGCCAATAGTTTGCGCATGTAAACGCTATCCCATAGCAGGGTATCAGCTACTCAGCAGGGTACTTGCCATGTTGGTCAGTTTAACGGACCCTAGGGACTAGTATTAAAATTGGTATTGTATTTTTTCATTGTTTTGTTGGGTTTGGGTACTGTTTTCAACAGTAAATATTATTTTAAATTTTAATTTTAAATATATCACACATTAACCGAAACGGTAGCTGAAACGGTTTTGAAACGGAAACTGCGCGATTTTTGTTTTCGGCCAATGAAAATCGTCAAAAATGTTTTTACTTAACCATTCCATGCACAAAAGTTGCGGCACCATTCACTTTGTATGGAAAAGGAAAAGGGAAAAGGATATTATTTATATTTATTTATTTGCGACTATTTTTTGTTTAACATTTTTGTTTAAACCTGATTTTAGTCAAAATACAAAAAAAGCAAGGACCAAAAACTAACCAATTTTGTAGAAAATTTATTCATCAATGACCTAAAATTATGTGGACAGAGCTAAAGGTTTTAGTTAGTCAGCATTATTCAACGGAATATCAAAATTGAGCAATGGTAACGACTATCCTCTTCGTTTGTCTTGCTTGCCCATTTTCGTTAAAACCTTTTCTTACGCAAAATCCAATAAAAGCAAACATTAAGAATAAGTCAGTTAAGTAGAAAAATGATGCATCAATTAAAAAAAATTTAATAATGTAAGCGCAGTTCAGGTGAAAGATATAGTGTTTTTTTTTTAAGTTCAGAGGAAAGCTGGCATGAGTCTACAAGAAGAATTTACAATCGTTAATATTTTTCGCCATTTACCTCAAGTAGTTAAACTATTTAAATAGATGCGGCTTAAGTGAGCTAAGCTCGGTTTTTCATCATACGAGACGCTATATTGTTGTTGAGGAACCAAAATTGAGGCAAAAAAGTCAAAGTCTAGTATTTAAAATAAGCCAGTCAAGTAGAAAATAGATTTATCAATTGGATAAAATTATGTGGGCAGGGCTGAGAGATCTAGAAAGCTAGTAATATTCCACGGAATATAAAAATCGGGGAATATAGAACTTGAATTCGCCAGTATATTTACGGTATATTTTGTACAATGAGACGGTATATTTTGGTATATTTCTGAGGGTCGGACGGTATATTTTAACGACAAGTCACACTGGTCACTCTGCAATTCACACTAGTGATGTAAATTTGAATGAAAACATCGATGTCGATGTCCATCGATGTTGTCAAAATCAAACATCGATGTTGGATTGATACATCGGATTTATTCTTCGATGCATCGATGTATGACCGATGTTTCAAAACTTTCCCATTTGATTATAAAACCGAATATTCAACAAAGGAAAAATTAAACTTGAGCTTTCATAGCAGAGTTTTACATATCATAGGACTAAACGAAACAATATTTAACATAAAAGAAATGATTATGCTTTCATAGCAGTCTTTTACATATCACTGTAGATATCATCAGAGATAACTAATATTTCAAATAAGTACTATTTGTCAATGCTTTCCAAAAACCAAAATGCGGCTTAGTCGCACAGGTGAAAGTCTATTACGTTTTCGACTTAATATGTTAGCAGCCGCTGAGTACACCCGTTCAAAATACACCCAGAAGATGCCATTAACGTAAAAATTGCATTGCAATTTTGTATAAATTAGGATAGGTACTTTTCCCACCGTCCCAAAAACACGAAGGATTGCTTTCAAATGAGGCAGGCATTGCTGTGTTTGCTGCTTACAAATTTGAAACTAATCGGTCGATGTTTTGCAAAACATCGATACATCACTCAACATCGGTAGCAGCAAAAACATCGGAAAACATCAGTAAACATCGGCAGAAAAACATCGATGCTCGATGCATCGATGTTTTTTTACATCACTACTCCGAGGCTTTTATCTTTGTACGTCGTCGTTGTTATAATTGAATTCAATTTGCCAGCGAATCGGTTCAGCAAATATTACTCACGACTTAATCGATCGAGTGTGTGATTTTTTTTTATTGTTTTTCCTAACTGTGCAGGTTTAAAAACGAAACTCGGGACAGTGCTTAACTCAAAATAAACTAAATAAAATAACCAAGCCAACCGAGTGCCCAGTGCTGATTCCTGCTCTTTGCTCGCGTGCCATGCGTGACCTCGGCACCAAAATGGCCGAGCTAAAATTCGAGGCTCCCCTGGCAAAGTTCGAGGAGACAGATGAGTGGGGCGGCTGCGACTTCATCTCTAACCAGAACGCCCTCAATGACACGCTTAACCTGAACCTGAAGGAGGTCAGTGTGGGCAGAAAGCCAGATGCCTCCAAGCTTCGCCTCCTTGAAGATGCGGTCCGTGACGCGCATATCAGCAAGAACGGCGGCGTCGGCAGTAGCGCCGGGACCATCAGTCCCAATTGCAATTCTTTGTTGAGCGGATCCGTCACCGATCTGGGCGTCTCCGACGCGGGCCTGGTGCCTGGCGACGGAGAGGTGCTGGACAAGCCGTCGGCGGCCCAAGGGGATCATGTGGACAACTTCACAGAGACATTCGGCGGCAGCCTGGAGGATCTGGTCAACACGTTCGACGACAAGATAACTAAGTGCTTCGGCAACTACGAGGAGAACGTCGAGGAGCTGGCCCCGGTGCAGGTGCGCAGCCAGGAGGAGATCATGAATGAATGCCAGTGAGTAGCCCAGCCATCCTGTATCCACATTCTCAAGCGCTCTTGTATTATGTAAAGTGCATCATTGTGTGCTGGTTTTGTCTCTATTGCGACGCTGCTGGCGGGTAGTGCGCATGCCCCACTCATCCTCCCCCGGGTCCAACCAAGGCTAACCCCGGCCTCACATAAAGACGTAATCCTAGTAGGTGGTGGTAGTTTCTGGATCGATAAAAGTGTCGGGAGTTGTTTTTCGCTCTTTCGGTATATTCCCACTGTATACGGGGGAACACTGTTGCTCTGTGGGTGGATGAGGGAACGGGGGAGTGAGGCTGCAGATGCACTACATAAATTCTGCCCTGTCAGGTTCCGTCCCGATTGTCCAAAGCTAAACCATGACGATAACGGAAGGGAGACAGTCGAGTGTGGGGCGCAATAAATTATTTCATATCCAATGTCCATAAATATACAAGCAAACAAACGGCATAATCCGCTAGGGACCGCTTCTAGTCTTCGTCTGTCCAGCGGGCAATTGCAATAAAAACAAAAACCAATGGCGCACAAAATTCTTTCCGGCAATCCGCGTGACATCAGCCATTCTTTCGACTGTGAGCGCAAATACTCGCCCACATCCTGTGCAAATCAACTTGGAGAATAGCCCAACATTGTCCCAAATATTGAGCAATATACATACATACATACATACATATATGTGCCATTAGATCACAGTACTAGGCTTAAAGCTTACCGGACCATCGTCACCAGTTTTTGCCCCCTCTGCAACAGTTCTTTCTTGTTGGCCATCCCCTGTTCCACCTGTCAATGTTTTTCTCTTTCCCATCCAAGCATGTACACATACAACATACATGGGCACCTACACACACACACACACACACACACATGTGTGCACACATATTTAGCGCATTGAAGATGGTTCACATAAAGCAAACGGGAAAACGGTCAGACACGATTACGATGCGGAAACTCGAATTTTAGCTAAACGCATGCTCTGCATATCACGACTGCGATGAGCGGTTCCAGCTAAGAGTATCTGGTCGACTTGGGGAAACTTGTTCAGTCCTGATTCTCGGCTGTCCAGCAGAGCTGCATTCCCACCTAGGGCTCTCTGCCCTTCTTCGTAACTGTATTCCAAGGACAACCCAGATAGAAATTCTGTTTGTTGGGCAAGCGATGGAGAGGGACAAAAGGAGAGTGAGACGGAAGATGGGCAGAAGCTAACGGATTTGCCATATGCCAATTATGGCACAGTACTACCCATATAGGCCGGACTCCTCCGGTTTCGATCGTAAGGCACACGCCACAAGAGCCGGGGGAGGGGGAGAGAGAAAGTCGTGACAACGGTGCCAAGTCTCTAGTACCAACATTTAATTGGGCTGCTTGGCGGTTGACTCGGCGCTTTCAGCCTAGCGAAGCCCAAAATCGATTCCCGTTTTGACCAGAGTTCAATGTTCTGCGTTCTGCCAAAGACAATATAAATAGCTAGATGAGTAACGACCATACATTTCAATGGTCATATGCAGCGAGGTGTTTGGAATTTGACACGACGCACGCTGAATAGCCCAAGGACAATTATTCTAATCTGAAGTCTTGTATGAAATACATTATGTATTTAAAAAAAATTAAAAATAAATACTGCGCTAAATAAGACTTTTCTGAAATGCATTTCAAAGTAATGGGTCTTTGACAGCGCCATCATAAAAACCCATGCAAGTAGGCAGATCTAAAATGTATGGGACACGGCTAAATCTCAGCCTCATGTATATAAGAAGAGAGCGGCTGGCTCTGGAGCGATCCAAAGACCCTGGAGCCACCTCTAGAGCCAGGCAGAAAAAATCGAGTACAAACAATTCGTATGGCGTTACTCATGTTACTGTTTATATGAATAGACCTAATAATATATCATACGATATATTTTGTTTACTTTTTTCCTTTGCCACTAGTTCTCGTTACCCTTTCAGACGGTATCAGCCAGATGTGGGGCCTTGTAGGGCCAAACATTGACTAAAATTCCCCTTTTAAAAAGAATTGTTCAGTAAAGAACAAATTTGTCTCCTTTCAAAAGGTACAGAAAAGGACACAGTGAGTGACATAAGTCGTAGAAGAATTATTTCTTTAAGGCTAAACTGAAGAACATATTTGAGATTTGGGCCCAGTTTGAGGGATTTTCAATAGATTTCCGAAGAATTGATCGAAACCAACTAAAATGCGCGATTTCAAATAAATATTTACATACATATTCGGATGTTGTCCTTCTACTATATACATATGTTTACGTACGTTTTTGCACACACCCAAAGCCGTTCTCGACTCTAGGTTGTTGGTTGTTAAATATTGGGGGCGATGACGGGGTAAGCAAACGCCTAAGCAACCGGCAACCGCCCTCTTATGTATGTAGTAAGAGCCAAATAAAAACAATAAAACAATTTATACAAATGTATATTTGTACATATGTATGTATGTATGTATGGATGTATTTCCCCAGCAGTTGTCACTTTATGGATGGATGAGTCATCCAAGCGACATGTCGTAGCGTGTTTACGGGGCAAGAAAGAGAGCGATAGAGAGCGCTAGAGAGCGAGAGCGAGTAAGCTTAATGTGTATCAATTTGAATGCATTACTGTGCGGTGCAGGACCTGGCTTGGGGTTGTTGCTGCTCTTATTGCACGAGAGCCGTTTCCGGGCCGCAAACTTTTCGGACCCCACTGGATTGGGTCGGACGGGGGTGGCTGAAAGGACGTTAACCTTTTAGGCATTGTTTCGAGGCGTCGCCGAGGGCACAGTCACAGACACAGACACAAACACCCCTCACTGCAAGCCTACATGATATGTGTATGTGTGTGTGTGTGTGTGTAGGTGCTTGATAATTGTCGGAGGGAGATGGCTTGAGCGAACCTAACCTCGCTCAATCTAAACCTTTTCCGCGACTTCCTCTGCCTCTGCCAATACTGGCGCCATTCAGCTATTATAGATGTCTGACTGCCGTAAGAGATAGACCTGATGACTAATTCACCACACACACACACACACACACACACACACACACACACGGACACGGAGCTCGCTTTTGCGTCGGACTATTACATCATAAGGCAACGAAAACAAGGAAAACAAACGAAAAATAACATTTTAAATACAGTCAAGGACAACCGAAAAAGGAGCAGCAGAGAGATGAAGGAAAAAGAGGAGGGAGCATTAGTGGGGAACAGAGTATTTGAGTGGATCTTTTATAATTGAGTGCGTCCCCGATGCTCCTACATAGAGATGCGAATGGACCGTGTCTTCGCTCGTGTCGCACATCTTGCGTGCTCGTTCAAAACACGACGAACCAAAGTGTTCGTGCAAGAAACAGATGATCAGATGAAGCCCCTCACGCACTAAATACATTTGGAAATATTCATGGTCTAAAAATACACTAAAAGTTCTAAAATTAACTAAAAAATTACACAAATTCAACCTCTATAACTACATACTTCCTATTTAATGACCCGGGGACGTTTTTCGAAGGAATTGGAATGCATTGCAATATTCATAAAAGTGTTAAGAAGGAGCGGGAACGTTGTGAGCCGCGGTAAGGGCCGATATATGGGCGTTACACACATTCACTTCCACCACAAATCTCATATACCCCTATATACTCTTTAAGTATCGACGACGACCGTGTTGGACCCTGTTTGGACAATTTTGAACAGTGCGTTTTGGAAATATTTATATTTTTTTTCGTCTTGGGTCGTGCCGAGAAATTTCATTGCAAGCCCATCTCTAACTCTGAGTCATTGAGACTGGAATTGGGATGGGACGAGATGATGGGATGATTCTGTTCGGCCTTATGACTGAGAGTGAGAGGCGGGGGTGTCGAGGGTACCCAAAAGTCCTCGACACCAGACAACAGCCATTGAGCAGGCAGCAGCGAGTCGCCTACGCACAGTGGACGAAATTATCAATATAGCACGCAAAACTTCTTGCTGGTACAAATATCTGAATATACAAATCGGTTGTTGTAGAAATATGTAGAGCAAATAATTGCATTTTTAGGTAAAACGATATAAGAGTTTGCTTAAAAAAAAAACCCAGAGTAAACCGATGATGGACTGCAATTTATTTGAATTTAAAATGGAAAAGTTGTATTTTTATCCATACAAAATCCCACTGTTATTTCCGCCCTCACAATTTTGAAAACACTAAAAATTATAGACCGTGTCTTGTCTATCGATTCTGATTCTGGTTTAGATCGGATCATTGTTATAGCCACAAGGAACAAAAGAAACTGCAGTGGCTACCTATTCTCTCTCTCTCTCACACACTCTTCGTCAGACGCTCTTCGTGAATAAAAAATATAAAGAAAAATGGAAACCGATAAAATCGAATATATAAAAATCTTCCAAACGGTTAGATCAAACAGCTATACCAAACGACATATAAAATATATTGCATCAATTACGTAAATCATAAGCTTACTTATTTTCTATCTCTCTCTCACACAGATATACTGACTGGGTACAAAGTAGATCCGCGGCCTTTGCCGCGACTCACAACGTTCCCCCTCGCTTTAATTATGCAAATAAAAGTAAAAATCGTATTTAAAAAAATATGGAATAAGTATTGGATGGTATGAACAAAGGGAAAATGGTGGGGTGCTGAGGCGTGAGGCGAGGCGGCGGGAGGTTGCATCTGCAATCCGTTGTCACTAATGCCCAGTTCTGAAAGCACTCTGAATGCGGCACTTGCAACAAAGCTGGGCATCACCTACAGAGACAGTTGTAGGAAATGTGCTGAACCTGGGGCAATCGAAGCCCGGCTCTCCCAAGGGCAAGGAGGAAACACCTGGGCGCCCCGGTGCTGGCATCGCTGGAAGATGCCTCCCAAGAGGACGCCACAGGAACTTCTGGGCTTTGGCCTAAAAACACCTCGATTCTCGAGGACCCCTATCCGAATAACTAGGGGCCATACTGGCCTATGCGTGGCCCCGTTAAGGGCCAGCAAAACGGAACATTGCAGCAGCGCAC